GGGCCCTTCTTGCCGTAAAGTCGAGCATATTCCAGATTTAAAAGTCATCCATGTGTGATTTGTCTGTGATCTTGTCATGGATGAAGCACAAGAAGAAAGCACATTCAATGATACAAACGAAGTCGATGACGACTTTTTAACAACACCAACGTTATTTGCGTTGAACTCTGAGGTGAGCATATAAAACAACGCAGCAAATGAGTGTTTGTTGTCATATAGGATAATATAAAGTTGTCCGGCATTAGACAGAATAAATGGGCTATATTCCATTTAATATCTGTACCCCCCCCCCCGCACACACACACCAAGGATACATGATTTATATAGTTCTCCCCCCCCAGAAGAATTCCAATCTCAAAACCTTTTACTGTGAAGAATTCCAACCAGGCACAGATTTTCTGGAGGGAGGGGGGATAACCGTGAAGAAATCCACATCTATATTATTGGTGCCCCTGAATGATTAATGATTATATGGATACCCCAAAGAATGCTGGCAGGGGGATACATATATTAAATAGAATAGCCTTAAATGCTAAAGTAGGGTGCATTTGGGTGCACTGCCAGCTAATGGATTAATGTAATTAAGAATTGCACATGACATGTGGTTGGCAAAATATATAATACTGTGAGTGCATGTGCAGCACGGTTGTATTATGAATATTTTGCCAAACACAAGTCTATAAACAACAACCACAAGTAGTGGATAGAAAGTGCAAGTAATCAAGCTTAAAAATTAGTAATATTTATAAGCTTTTCCCGAGGTGGAGGTATGGGTTTGCAAATAAATTTAACGTTCACAAAACTCTTTCTCGACCAGCCTATTCACGTGATAAATAGGTGTGTTATGTTCCGGTGTGATTTTCTCTGCATGTACTGGACCCTTTTAAGCGCATAATGCATCGTTGGAAAGCTCATGACTTCGGCTATCGATTGATGACGGTTGGTTCCGTTTTCAAATGTGACACGTGACCCAAAAATGCATAAATTTGCATAAATTATGCAAAAATGTGGCAATAATATTTGCATTTTGCCTCATTAATATCAAACAATGCACATTTGTCAATGCATTATATTTATGAAATGTTTGCTTAGGTTATATAGTATATTTGTGCCAAGTTTCAAAATAATTGACTAACAGAATATATTTTTTTTTAATTTTTGAAATTCACCCGTTAGAAATGGCAGAATCTTACCTTCAATTTCATTGACATGTCTCCAATGTAGTAATCATGCCAGAGTCATATATATATTTTTTTACATAGTGGTGGTGGGTAGGCTTTAAGAATTCAACTCCTCTCCCACATTTTCTCCAGTGAAGTCCTTTCCATTATTTGTCAAAATAAAGGTTCTGAGCAACTCGGCAACCCGAATTGGGAAAGTCACCCCCCCTGCTAAACAAAAAATGTGTGCAGCAACATAATTTTAAAAGTAGCTGACACCATTATGTTCTACTATGTTCAAGGGAAATTTCCCCTTTTGATTGAGTAAACAAAAAAATCTGTACAGGCACCCAAAAGTACTATTGTGAGATTGAACGACACCGCTTGAAATCAAATTCAGTCGGAAACACACTTCCTTTTTTTAATTTTTAATAATAAAGTAAAAAATTACATTAAATATACATGAATGTAACACAAATAGTAAGGAAAATTTTATTAAAAAATGAAATGAGGAAATATGATACAAATTTCATTTGTTTGACAAATTTGATGTTGGACATGTTTCAGTCCACCCACAATACCAAATGCAGAAATACTCATGACCTCTTACCAGTGTAATCCCTACTATGCCATACTGCAAAACAATAATGCTCACCAGCAACATGCATGTGCCTATTGCACTGAGGGGCAGTACAATAGGTAGAAACCTTCCTCTCCCCTCGACCTTCCACGTAACAAACAACGCAATTCCTTCTTACACCATTTGCTGCCGTTTTAGGTAGATGGGCAGTACAAAACTGATCAGGGGGGAGGAACAGCCTGCACTTGCTCATTCACAGGAGGTCTGTCATACTCAGCAGAGTATACAGACGGCCACAAAGCTGTCTAACCAGCTCTTCCCTATAATCAACTATAGTATATGTGGACTTGCGATGCAATGCCGGATTACCCGGGTCACTGTTACGATGGCTTTGAAATAGAAGGAAACTGTTAACAGTTGCCATATCTATTAAGTGGAAGAATATTGTTTTCCACCATCGATAACACTTACGATTTACATTATGACATGCAAGCATTTGGTCTGACCTATCTACTGCGTTCATGTACTGGTTATATCTATGAAATGCATAGGGCTGGCTTACAATCACCTTTTCAAACACTCCTTTCGTTTTCGTCCTTCTCTCCACATCCTTTTTATCATTCGCATAATCAATTGATGTAATCAAGGAAACAGGCCTGTTATCAACCCATTGCAGGGATAACACATTGGATTCCCTTGCCCATCGCATGCTACCTCGCTCCAACTTCCTCACCCACACCTTCACATCCTTCATGGATTCGGGGAAACCATCCCTGTTAGTTTTACATGTGCCTGATGATGGGGTCCCATTCATGAACAAATCTTGGACTAACTTAGGGGATGAAAAAAAATTATCAAAAAATACATGATACCCCTGCCCCAAATATGGGTTCACCAACTTCATCACCACATCATAACCAAGGCCATTCTGCGACGGTACTTCATGCTGTGACTTACCTATGTAAACATTGAAATCAATTGTATACCCATTTGAACTATCTGCCAATACCCAGAGCTTTATCCCCCATTTTGTAGGCTTATTCTTCATGTATTGCCTAATCCCTGACCTATGCTTAGACTTTACCATGCGTTCATCTACAGCAATATTCTGGTACGGTTGGTATAACATACGGCATCGCTCTTTGAACGATGCCAGAAACTCCTCAACCTTGTAATATCTAAGTACTAGGTATATATTTGTGCTATAGAATATATTTAGTATAACATAACGATATAGTTCTTATTGGTGTTTTAGTGTGTGTGTGTCTTCTACACAACGTGTCCTATATCTATATATTTAATTAGTTCCGACCGTATAGTCCTGGTGCCGAGTGAATGACATGACGTCATTACTATATCACTCCCCTTTTTTTATCTAATTACCGACGAGGGAATTCCCTCGCCATATCGTTCTGGTTGCCTGACATTCCTTGTCGATCGTCTTGGCTCAGGGTTACTAGTGTCAACTCTGTCTCGTTCGGTCCTTTCCGCGTCATACGTTTCACTGTCATCGTCGTCGTCGACTTGAACATCAATCTTTGGCTTCGGTATTGGCTTGAAGTGTGATACATTGCGAGTTATAGTGTGTCCTGTCTGACTACGTGCTGTCACCGTGTTGTTGTTTCGCGAGATGACAATGTGGGGTGTTTCATTGAAATTAGGGGTGAGTTTGTTCCGTCTCTCTTGCTTCCACAAAACGTAGTCGCCAACTTTTATTGGGCTTTCTCTAACGTTTCTCTTTTCATCAGCGTAACGTTTGTTATACTGTTGTCTTTCACCTTCCTTTTCCCGAGCCTCGTTGTGACGGTTAACGAGATTGCGTTTTTGTAAAATAGGAAGCTTTCCTTGAACTTGGCGATTAAATAACAGTTCAGAGGGTGGAACACCAGTGGTACAATGCGGTGTGGTGCGATAGTGCAACAGGAAACGACTTAGCTCTTGTTTCCATGGACGACCGTCAAGTTTAGCAGCTTTCAGGGATTTGCCCAAGGGTTGCATGAAGCGTTCTACCTCAGCGTTGCCTTGGGGCCATTTGGGAGTAGAGAAGATTGCCTTTATTCCAAGGGCAGTGAGATAGCGTTGGTATTCTTCGCCATTGAAAAGGGGACCATTGTCGCTTTTGAGAAGGGTAGGAATGCCATGAACGGCAAAGATCTTGTCGAGTTTTGGTATCACAGTAGAGGCTCTCGTGGAGTGGACAATTTCGACCTCGGGAAACCGAGAATATCTATCTACAATGACAAGAAGGTATTCTCCAGTGGGTAGAGGACCATAGAAGTCGACATGAACAGTTTGCCAAGGTCCATCAGGCATGGTGGTGGGGGTGATTGGTGCTGGTGGGCCGGGTCGGCCAAGGGCTTGGCAAGTTAAGCAGCGATCAAGAGTTGTTTTAACCATGGCGTCGATATTCGGGAACCAGATTTTTTCGCGAATTAATGCTTTAGTTTTGGTTAGACCAAGGTGCGTCTCGTGGGCGATGTCGATCGCGCGTTGTTGTAAAGCTTGGGGGATGACAATTCGATGTCCACGCAGGATAATGCCGTTGTTGGTGACTGTCAATTCGTCTTTGATGTGTTTGAATGACGTCAGAATGTCGGTGGACCACTGGACAGAGTGTTATCTGCACGTGTAGCTGTGGCAATTTCGTCGAGTGGCATGGCGCGGGGGGCAGTGTGTCGTTCAATGAAGTTGACATATTCTTCAGCCATGCGATCCGGGTGTGACATGCGTGGTGATGCAGGATGACGTGATAAATAATCAGCGGGGTTGGTGGCACCAGGTTTGTAGATGACGTTAAAGTGGTACGGTTGTAATCGCAGAACCCAACGTTCTATACGTGCAGACGGTTTCGACCTGGTGGTGCCGTAAATGATTTCAAGGGGTTTGTGGTCGGTTACCAACGTAAAATGATGTCCAAACAGGAACATGTGGAAATGTTCGACAGCCCAGACGATAGCGAGGGCTTCTCGTTCGGTTTGGGAGTAACGTGTTTCGACGGGCGATAAGGCACGACTGGCGTAAGCAATGACTTTGGAATTTGCGACATTTGACGATTTTTGTGAGAGGATAGCCGATACCCCGACAGGGCTCGCGTCGACGACAACAAATGTTTCTTTATGGATGTCGAAATACGCCATGCATGGAGCTGACGTTAGAGCGGCTTTCAGGTTGTCGAACGCGTTTTTATGTGCCGTGGTCCACACAAATGGTGTGTCGTTTTTCGTTAAGAGACGGAGGGGGGCAGTGATTGTTGCAAAGTTGGGGATGTATTGACTGCTGTAGTTCGCCATACCAAGAAGGCTTCGGACTTCTTGGACAGTGGTGGGTGTGGCCACATTCTGCAGGTCGACGACTCGTTGAGGGTCTGGTCGCGTGCCATCGGCAGAGAAGATTTGACCGAAAAATTCCAATGTGGGATTCAATAATTTACATTTACTGGCGTTGAGGGTCAATCCTCGGGTTGTTAGACGTTGTAGCACTTGTCTAGATTTTCATCGTGTTCCTTGCGAGTACTTCCATAAACGATAATATCGTCGGCTATGTTCTTGACTCCGATGAGTCCTTGTAATTGTGTCTGAAGCGTGTATTGGAAAATCTCGGCGGCAGCGTTTGTCCCATAATTTAAACGTTTATAGCGATATAGCCCGATGTTTGTACTAAATGTGGTGATATGTCGGCTTTTCGGATCGAGTTCGAGTTGGTGGTACGCCTGGGATAAGTCCAATTTCGAGAAATATTTCGCGCCGTTCAGTTCAAATCTTACGTCATCAACCGTAGGTATCGGGTGTCGGACCCTTTTGATCGCCTCATTCGCTTGTCGCATGTCAACACAAATACGCACTCCGCCGTCTTTTTTTGGCACGGCGACAATAGGAGAGACCCAGGGGGTTGGTTCATCTTCAGGCACTCGTTCGATTATGTCGTCTTTTTCAAGGGTTATGATTGCATCTTTAACTTTGTTTCGGATGTGGTAAGGGATGCGGCGCTGAGGTTGAGCTTTAGGATTAGCATTGGGATCAATGTTTAGGTGGACGGTCTGTCCTTTCAGTTTTCCCAATCCGTCGAAAACTTTGGCATTTCTCTCGAGAATGTCATTGATTTTGGGATCTTTATTAGGATTTTGCGGCAAAGGTTTGGAAATGTTGTTGAGGTGAAGACTGACGAGATCCAGTTCTTGGGCTGTTGACAAGGATAAGAGGTTTCCGCTTGTTGAACCCTGTGCGACATAAAAGGTCGCCGCGGTAATTTTTCGGCGCGTTTCGACAGTTGCTGTAAACTTCCCAAGGAACGGTACCCGGGTTGTAGAGTTGTACGCAAATGCTTTCGTTGTTGTCTTTTGTAGAAAGATACCGCGCAAAGTCTTATATGTGCGTTCATCGATCACATTTATAGTTGCGCCTGTGTCAACTATTGTGCTAAACGAATGGCCACCCACTGTCACGTTAACTCGAGGGCTTTTATCGAGGCTGTGAATTCCGTAGATATAATCGTCGTCTGAGCACGGGTCTGAGTCACCGGTGTTGTAATGCTCGAGGGGTCGTATCAGGTTTCGTGTGGCGTTGCTATGGTAATTCTGAGTGGAGTCTTGCTGTGCGATACTGCCACTTGGTTGTGCAATAGGTCTGCTTCGACAAACGCTTTGAAAATGGTTAAGTTTGCCACACTTTCGACACTGTTTGCCTTTCGCGGGGCAAAGACCTTTGTGAGGAAAAGATCCACCACAATTGCGACATCCCGTCGGTCTGTAGAGAGCGTCAATTTCGTCAAAGGTGCTCGTTGCGCTGTCGGGCGATGTCGATTCGATGTCTTTAGCTTGGAAAATGCTCTGTTCGTCTCGGCGGCCTTCTAAGAGCATGGCAGCTAGATTAAAACTTGGATCACGCAACGCACGTTTGCGGATTTTCGAAGAGGCCCCTCCAATAATTATTTGTTCTTCGAGTTCGAAATCTGGCGATGCGAACTCGCAAGTTTGGGCTAAAGTTCGAAGCCGGGTGTGGAACTGATCGAGAGTTTCCCTTGGTTCTTGCACAGCCTTTCGAAATCGATACACCTCGTAACGTCTGTTTTTCTGCGGTTCGAAATGGGCAAGTAATTTCGCTTTGGCAATATCATAGTCTTTGTCTTCGCCAGTGTCAGGCAGTTGTTTAAAGATTTCGCGCACTCTTGCGCCAGCTTGGTATAGCAACAAAGCTCGTTGTCGTTTAGGATCTGTAACGCCACTAGCCAGGAGAAACATGTCAAAGTCTGCGACCCAGTTTTTCCAACGTGTAGCGACGCTCGCGCCAAGTTCAGCGTCGGGATTAAACTCGGGCATTGGGCGAATAGGTACTGAATGTGCCATGCTGACTGTTGTTGGATTGTTAGGTTGTTGTTCCATAAAATCCCATCCTCGTCGCCAATGTAATATCTAAGTACTAGGTATATATTTGTGCTATAGAATATATTTAGTATAACATAACGATATAGTTCTTATTGGTGTTTTAGTGTGTGTGTGTCTTCTACACAACGTGTCCTATATCTATATATTTAATTAGTTCCGACCGTATAGTCCTGGTGCCGAGTGAATGACATGACGTCATTACTATAAACCTTGTGCAGTTTATTGCTAGCAATCTCTTCGGCAGGGTCTACCACATGCAAGAATGCCATAAGGGCTTTGTAACGTTTACGGGAATGTATTTTCCTTGCCCAGAGACCGTGGTAAAGGGTCTTTGTGCTCCAATACTTTTCAACTGCTGTGTCTACACGTACCAGACCGAAATAAATCAAAATAGCAATTAAATGATTTATTTCATCTTCAGTAGTTGTTTTCCAGGCCCCTTCCCCAGTGGTGTATGTGGTGAACCCCCCAGCTACAAGTCTCATGAATGCGTAGCTGTTGGTGTGGGCAACAACTGATTTTATCATCTCGGTGGTGAAGAAGAGACGAAAAAATTCTAATTCAGTTGTCATTCCTCCCCGCAAGACATGCCTATCAAAATGAATTCCTGGCGGACGGCTTGGTTGAAAGGGAGGGAGGGTATTCCTAATGTCCGCATCATCATAAGATTTACTACTACTGTTGGCCCTGGTATCCCTAGCCCTTCCACCCTTGGCCCTACCACCCCTAGCCCTACCGCCCCTGGCCCTACCGCCCCTGGCCCTACCGCCCCTTCCTCTATTGCCCCTTCCCCTATTGCCCCTTCCCCTATTGCCAGAAGTACCATTAGGGGAGTCAGCCCGTCTCCTAATTGGGGATCGGCCCCTACCACCACTACCCTCCCCTAAATCACCATCCTCCTCCCAATCTGGATCCTCGTCATCTGCTTCAAAATCATCATCTTCTTCATCAGCAGGTTCTTCATCACTATAAAAAAATAAAATACTATAAACATACTGATACATGGTATTATTTTACTTCATATAAACAAAAATGCATAAATTAATTTTTTAAATGCCCACTTATGACACGTGTGCAACATGACGCTCACACATTTTGATATCGGTTCAAACCTTTGATTTTTGTCGCAATATAAATGACAGAACTATCATATAAATGCCTTATTACATCGATTATTTGTATATTTATTATATTTCGTATCAGATCTTAGACTAGAGACAAAATTCTTATGGAAAATATGCGTCAAAGTTCACGTTGCGTCGATTGTAAATTTAATCCTTCGGCCATGACATGAAAACATCTGTTCGCTAAAAATATGAAAATACTTGCCTTGGGTCGCTATCTGACATCACCAAACGTCTGTCCAAGTCTTCTTCTTCATCTGATATTCCACTAGCGTCCAAAGCAAAAATTTCGTTGTCGATCGCTTCTTCAAGCGTGAAAGCCATCTTTGCGTATATGACAATATCAAAGACGGCAGCGAGCCGTTGGTGCGCGCATCACTTATAATCTAAAAAATGCTGTATAAGGCACGGCTTTTGCCCTGAACCAATGAAATTTACGATACAGGGGGATTACATCATGGGGAATCGATTGCCGAGGGTCTTTAGACCGTGGGGTGAAAAGAACCCGGCGAATTGAGGCTCCGAACATTGCCAACTGGTGTACGACGCATCACGAATGCACGTGCATTTCCGAAAATGCCCATAAAATGTGTTGTTTATGTCGTAATCTTACGAAATTCAAGACATAAACAGATTGCGATACAAGGATTCTAATAGTGGTATTTCTGTCTCGATAACTTTTATTCGAGCGAAGATATAGTCCAGCAAAGTTCAGAATATGTTTGTTATGTTGAACATCCGGTACGTATTTTTGAAAACACATATCTCAATGATTTAAAATTGTAGTATACTATAAGTATTGTATTAAAGTGTGGATATGGCTCGGCTGGTACTGTACCCTTGGCCGTGTACGATGGTGTACGTATTTACGCAATCTTTAATCGCGCTGGCTGAGAATAACCTGTATATATATACAATAAATTAACATATTTTCCGTGTAAGACGTTGTGGCGTAGGGGAACAACACTCAGCGTGTATGCTGAGGGTTGTGAGTTCAAGTCCGGAGTGCACGCAAACGAATTTGAATTTTTCTTTTTGCCGAAATTTTTTTTTCTCGTTTATTTACCTGTTGCATAGCTAACTATATGCATTGGGAAGATGAATTTAGATGCATTTCGATGATTTTCGGAAAATTTAATGTAATTTTGGTGTGTTTTTTTGCTTATGAAACATTTTAGAACCAGTCTCCGAAATGCGCGCATTTTTTGAACGAATAGTATACTATAGTACAGCCCGGCTGGCAGCCAAGCAATCGGAGACAAAATTTCTGGCGTCAAACGCGCTAATCGGGTGAGATATTCACTTACCATGCCGTTATAGTATCGATGAATTCACTGGGTTTTTTTGTCTCACGATCCACAATACTTTTTTCCAGCGATGTAAGCGATGGTATTTTTGAGGAATCAACCACGGGCAAATCAGCCATGTTTGTATACAAACGCGTATATAAACAGCCCATTTTAGCGCATCATATTAACATACATAATCGTCGTCTTTCTGGACAAATCCTTTAGGTTATTGAATTAGAATACTATCTTTCCATTCCTTCATAAAAACACACCAAACATATGCCAAGATCGCCATATATTTAAGACAAAATACAAAGGGTAAAGCAAATTCACTTTGGAGCAGAACACTCATTTTAAATAGCAAAGTTCGCGATTCACGAAGCATCGGCGTATCATAACAAAATCGTCGTATTTCTGGACAAATCCTTTAGGTTATTGAATTAGAATACTATCTTCGCATTTCTTTATAAACACATACCAAACATAGACCAAGATCGCCAAATATTGAAGACAAAATACAAAGCAAACTCACTCTAGACATCAGTGTACATGCAGTATTTGCAAAGTTCGTGATATAAATATTCTCGATTTCCAGGTCTAACCTGCGAACGGGCGTGCGCCCGGAATACTTTGGATCGATTAATTTCCACTTTTCGATTTATATTGGGATTTAGGGAGTGTATCTAAAAGTCGAGGGTCGAGAGTATAGGTCGAGAGTAAAAGTCGAGAGTAAAAAGTCGAGAGTAAAAAGTCGAGAGTCGATCTAGAGTAAAAAGTCGATAGTCGATCGAGAGTAAAAAGTCGAGAGTCGATCTAGAGTAAAAAGTCGAGAGTCGATCGAGAGTAAAAAGTCGAGAGTCGGCAAATATCATCAGAAACAACAAAGTCAAAACTTTTTAACCACGTTTAACACAATCTATATATAGCTTTACATAGCCATTCCGTTACAAGTACCAACGGCTGAAATACCAACTTTCCAATAAATATTGCTACAACAGTCAATAATAATAACGTCAACGAAAAAGATTGGATAAGAAAGTAATATCGCATTTGATGCCTCGATCTTGCTAAATGTTTTCACATGTCATTTCATTCTAACTGACACATAAACTCCGCTGAATTTTGACAGCCATCTCCAGGCTTGTAACTAAAATGTCACTTATTCATTAACGTACGTTTATATCAAACGAGAGCGTATTAAGAAATCCACGTTGATCACAATCTAACGATTCATACAATTGTGAATTCATAAATACGAGCCAGTAAAAATAGGATTCTTTTGTCGTATGTGTGACTCTATCTGGTGGTAATATGTCTCGCATGTGATTGTAAAGTCCCAGTATTTATATGTAGCTTCACATATGAGTAATTTTTCGCGGAAATAGGTGCATGTAAAATTAGCGGGAAGGATGGACAGTAATATATAAGGAAGCGATAAAACTAGTTATTAGATAATAGTTATTATTATTGAATGTTGTGGCTACATTTTTGCGAAAGTTTTTGTTTTATATTATACTGGATTATTCCTTTGATTGTATATGCCTCTTGTTTACTTTAATTTCGAGAATTTGAGCATATTAAATTATGTTTCGCAAATATTGTTTGCTTTATGTTCCGATAAACACAGGAAATGAAATTAGTTCAGCCGTCCGATAGGCGTACGCCGGCGGGAAAAAATCAGGCAGCCAGAAAGAAATTTACCCGACTTTTACCCACTGAATAAAATTTTCCGTGTAACTAAATTTCCAAAATTGTCGTTGGGAAGTAGACAAAAATATTTTCCTATTTGTCGATTCCTCGTTACTTTTAGTACATATATTTCTGGTATTTTCAAATACCATATTGCATGTACTGTCTTCTTTTTAAATTTATTTCCCCCAATTTTTGCCCCAATTTATACGTTTATAATTTGCATGACTTTATTTTGACTGGGGGGCGGGACTGCTCCCCTCTCCCGTACGGCTATAATAAGGCGTTGTTACGGATCGGTTATATATTGTGTTAAAAATATTTTGACTTTGTTGTTTCTGATGACATTTGCCAGCTCTCGACTTTTTACTCTCGATCGACTCTCGACTTTTTACTCTTGACTTTTTACTCTCGACTTTTACCCTCGACTCTCAACTTTTACTCTCGACTCTCGACTTTTACTCTCGACTTTTAGATAACCTATACTCTCGACCCACAACTTTTAGATACACTCGGATTTGGGACGTGCAAAAACAAATTGGTGGTTAGTGTGCATGGTCAAGTCAACTCATAATTGTAAAGTAAAAACGAGTAGATTTCTAAACCTTTTAACATCCAAAAGCATTAAGATCACAAAATTGCAACATTCGAGGCTTTAAAATCAACTGCTTGTACCTGGATTAAAGGTACAAAAACGATTAAACAGTTCTGTGCGAAAACGATTAAAACAGTTCTGCTAATGGATAATAATATTTCATCTGGTCCGGGTGCTTTTGAAGGTTTTAGATGCAGTAATTGTAGAAACACTGAATTTTCGGTACACACGTCCTCCAAGGCAGATACTTCGATTTGTGGAGGATCTTCTTGTCGAGAGGGTAAAGTTGTGAAAGAGGCCATGGGTGATGAAAAGGCTTCATTGATGCGTTCAGCTAATTCTTTTAGCTGCTCATGAGAAAAAACCTGTTGTCCATTATTTCCTTAATAATGGACCTTAATAATGGACCTTGCAAGATATGATCACGAAACTCGCCCACAACATTTCTTCAATAATAAGGTTTACAAGAAACCAAAAATATGGTTAAATATTGTTGTTGCCATGGTAGCAAGGTGATGTTAAAACGACCAAATTTTTGCAATTTTTTTCAAATATTTTGAATTTCCTTCGGTGAAACATTTTTATTTTCTGCACACATGAAGCTAATGGATAGTTACCTAAAATAAGAGTTTCTTAAGAAGTTGTAGGATACAATTTTTATTTTTTTTTTATTTTATGCAATTTATGATTGTTGTATAGTATACAAAGTTTTACCGAAGGAAACAAGAAAAAATACGGTAATTTTTGGTGTATGACGACAGAAAAATCAGGATTTCAATTTTGTCGCAGGACTATTCCCATATAAAGCAATCAAAAATGATTTCGCCTGCTTTGTGTAGTTGTCGGTAAAAATACTACAAACTTTCCACAGGCACTGCGCGAGTTAGAATGGCGTTTGACTAAATCAAATTCAAATTCAACTAATAACTGTAGCGAGCCTCCTTGAAACAATTGTGCCAAATGCCATCAACTGATAGATTCATCACGATTGTGCCAAATGCCGCGTAGATGTGTTTTCAGCGTGGCATTTGGCACAACAAACTGTCTTTGCCGTACAAGAATCTTTTATAACAAATAAGCGCAATGTAAATATTACTTTCATGGATTTTCACATTCTGGACATATAATACACACCAAAGAACTGAAAATAAAGGGAATAATCGAATTTAACACAATTGTGTCAAATGCCATCAATCTAAAGATAGATATAGATAGATATAGATAGGTATAGATAGATAGATATAGATAGGTATAGATAGATAGATAGATCACAGTTAGTAGAAGGAGACTGGTTATGCTAGCCGGCAAACTTCAAAGGGAGCGGAAAATGATGTCGATCCACAGCCAAAATTATAGTCACATGACCAATATAGTGCATCGTGCAAATGGCGATACTATAATTTACACTGTCAAATTACAATAGCGTTGTATGAAATCCTATATAATTTCCTAACTTGTGGCTCAAATGCCACGAAAGACAATGAAATGGAACGTGAACAAGACTATGACATGGCTAACGAGGGAGATGTGGAGTTTTGCGAGCCAGAAATTGTTGTTGAAGACGTGGAGTTCGAAACGCCAAGTGACTCAATCGACTATGTATTATACAACCTCGATGTTTCTGTTGTTGATACGGAAAGCGACGAAGACGACGCTGAATTTGTCGAGGCTATAAGCGAATTGAGGGTAAAAGATTGTTTCCCTGCCCCCAATACACGAACATCTGCAAGTCAAAACGGGAGGCTAGCTTG